TAGGGCGTGCCCCTATAAAAAGAGTAGAAAGAGAGAAGAGAGAGGAGTATTTAGGAGAGAGAAGAGATAAACCTCGAGTGGGGTGTGCCTCTCGAGAGAAAGTTGAAAGAGAGAAGAGAGAAGTGTGTAAATAAGTATATATGCCTTTTGAGGGAGTAGGGTTACATAGAGATAGCTATTACAAAATCTAATGTTCATCATTTCATGTTAGAGACTTACTGGGTGAGTGATTTGAGTCATCGATTCTATCAATCATTTTGATAAAAAATGAATTAGTAAGAGAGCTTAACCTTTCAAAATATTTTTTAGTTTCAAATTTGAATATCATAATAAATCTCCCATTTCAAATTAAATCAAAATAACCGATAAAATGTAGATCTCCCCAAACCTTGGCGTGCCACTTTTCGTCCCACAAAATGGGGCATACAAGTTTTTGCACCCACAAAATGTGGAGTGAAACTTCTTGTTCGACAAATTGTGGATCACTAAAAAGGGGCGTCCCACTTAGGGTCACCAAGTGGGTCCCTCACGCAAATCTTAGTGGGTCAAACGGTCCTATGAGCCCAAATAAGTTATTTATTTATGAAATAAACATTTTTAAAAGTGATATAATGATTTTATTTCTCTCTTAACATTTTACTTAATTTTAATAAATATAATAAAATATCTAGAATATACAAATAATTATTCTAAAATTAATCTAAATTTGATGAGAATATGATCCTTTAGGTCCAGGATTTAATACTTCTAAAGTACTATCTTCTATTGTGGACTACTATCTACACTTGCTTTCTCAAACTGATCCAGTAATACCCATGACCCACAATCCAATATAGGGGCTCGTGATTGTGATACCAAAATCAGCTAACAGGAAAGGGGATATAATCTCAATTTATGGATTACAGGTTCTCCCCTAAAGACGAGTTCTAAGGTCACACATACCTATGCAACTACAACTCTATGATACATACAGGTAATCTTTCGCACATGTGCATGCATCATTGTCAATGGTGAACTATTTTCCTAATGCGGCCATCATATGTACATGCCGTGTGATGGATTAGTGATGAGGCTTTTAACCCTCGTCTCTAAAGACCAACCATCACACACATGGGTCACACAGTTCTTTGGCTCACTCTTTTGGGCAACTCCGACCTCATCAAGAGATAACCCATTAACCATCATCGGTTTTTATTCCATGCCTAGACATTAAGGGTTTTTTAACTCGACTGGCATAGCACGTGAAGTCTAGTCTAAGTTATGAAAAATATCATTTGTATTTCATGGTCCACACAAGACCACACTTCCACTTATTTTATGTTCCACTAAAATTTTATATTTACAAGCTCTCATAAGGAATTTAATGGCCACGTAACCCAACAATTAAGTTGGGTTGGCAATAGATTAGTTGGCCCATCCAGCCCTATAAAAAAAATAGGGGCTTGGCCATAAAATGCGGCCCGAGGGAGGGCTACTGGCATGACTGGGCTTGAGCAAGGGCCACAACCTCCCGGGAACGGCCCTTTCATTCTTTTTTTTGTTTTTTGTTTTTTTGTTTTTTTTTTGAGTGTATAGCCTTGGCACTCGCCTAGGCATCTCTAGACAAGATTGGGCTTGGGTGGACCGTACAGGGAATGGGCTAGGGCCAGGGCTGGCCCTCATGTAGGCTTGGCAGTTGTCAACCATACCATTGAGGTAGGGACCTTGGGAACCTCAATGAACAGTTTGGTTCTCCTTTTGTCTGCCATTTCAAATGACTTCTTCAAGTAGTCCCATGCTTGGATATTTATTTCTACCCTTTTTCATGTTGGTATTGTTTTTCTCTGCCAAATTTCTATCAGTACTGGAACTGGAAATTTCTTGTGAATTTCTCTTGTTATTGAATTGTCTCAACATTGAGTGGGTGACATTCACTTTCCTATTGATTGCTATTAAAATGGCAATGCATGAATTTGCTTTCCAAGTCAGCCATTTCCAATCCAAGTAAACTTGCAGCTCTATAGAGTTAGTCTCCACATTTCCATTCACTTTCTTATCTAATAATAAGAAAATACCCATGCATGAATTTGCTTTCCAAGTCAGCAAATTCCAATCCAAGTAACATTGCAGTTCTAAAGAGTTGGTCTCCATATTTCCACTCAATATTCATGTTTCTTTAACAAATTTCAAACTTTGTTGAGAAGTTCTAAGATTCAAGCTTGGCACACATTCAAAACATAATAATAATAATAATAATAATAATAATAATAATAAAAAGAAAAAGAAAAAAAAAAGGGAAATTGAAGCATCTTAATTAAATTATAAGGCAGGCTTAACGTTTTTGACCATCGATCCAAATAGGGGTACGGACACTTAGCTCATGGTAAGGGTCTGAACAGCCTCATAGGATCCTGTGTGTTGACGCATGTCGATACACTAAAGACATAATACTCATGTTTGATACTTACAAATTAACTTCTCTCATGAAAATCTAAAAACTATTCTAGTTTAAGAATGAAACATAGAATATCCTGCCCACAAAAATTTGACCACAAGATACCCATAAAAAGTTAAAAAATACAAGAGAAAATTACATGAAAATCAGTTATACTTTGCGTTATTACCAATAACCAAATAGTTTATGTTATTATATGTATGTCAATTTTTTACTTTTTATAACATAAATTTTTTTAAAAGACCACTTTACCCTTTTTTGGATGTTGAACATCCGAATTGGTAGGATTTTTGGATGTTCATCATCCTAAAATAGTCGTAAAGTTAAACGTTAAATTTCCTATTTTCGGATGCTGAACATCCGAAATTAAGGAATTTTTAGATGTTGAACATCTGAAAATACCTCAATGGTTTAACGTTAAGTATAACATTTTAGGATGTTGAACATCCGAATTTAAGAGATTTTCTGATGTTCAACATCCGAAAACAGAGAAGACGAATGTTTATTTAATTATCAGGGTATTTTCGGAGGTTGAACATCCGAAAATCTCTTAAATTTGGATGTTCAACATCTAAAAATGTTATACTTAACGTTAAACTATCGGGGTATTTTCGGATGTTGAACATCCGAAAATCCTTTAATTTCGGATATTCAACATCCGAAAATAGAAAATTTAACATTTAACTTTCGGCCTATTTCCGGATGTTGAACATCCGAAAAAGGGTAAAGTGGTCTTTTTAAAAAAATTACGTTATAAAAGGTAAAAAACGGACATACATGTAATAACAGAAACTATTTGGTATATCCTTAATAACGCAAAGTGTTACAGATTTTTATGTAATTTTCCCAAAATACAATTAACATTAATTTCTTTGGAAAATATAAAAATGACATATTTGTGATTTTTTGGTCCCTTCTAAAATCAAACATAATTCAAAGAGTTAGAGGACTCATTTTATATTCAAAGATCAGTTTTGGAGGGTATTTGAAATTTTAAGATCGCTTTTTAAAAAACATTGTGTATCTCATGATATTTGAATTGAAATGAACAGTCTAAAAGAATGACAAACACATTGCTTGAGACTCACAACTTATTTTATATCTTTTCTAGATTCATAATCGCCATGCCCGAGATCGAGATGATAGATTCTAAAATTTGGAGAGGCGTCCATCTCTAATATTTTGCAAAGGTGGATTGACTCTACTAGGCATCCGCATATTAAAGCCTACCCTTCAAACTTTCCAAACAAATATATCAATTGCATTATTTTTAAATTTGCAAGGACATTCTATAGCAAAAAAGGTTGGGGGGAGGGCTTCTGGTATCACTATTAGCATGGTGTATTGTAGAAAGAGCACGTACACTATGCTCCCTTGGGAGCATAGTTTACTTCTACTCCTTCGGTCAAAAGACATTTCAGTTTGAAATTTTGGGAACCATTTAAGATTTGGTTGATAATTATTCTCAGAACAATATAAAATAAAATTTGAGTTTTCTAACATTTCGATCTCACCATCTAAAAATTTGACGGTCTCTATTCAATCTCAGGGCATTATTTTTTTCAAGTGCAAAAGAAGTACAATTACGATTTTGTTTTTCTTTTAAAGTTGAAGTTAATCTATGAGTTAAAGAGGTTTCCTAATTTGGGGTTTCCTATTTTTTTCCTTCGTTTTAAACGTGGTTTGGGAATAGCGATTTGGTTATGCGTGATACCTCAAACACTAATCGAAAAGCGCATTTAGACAAGGATGGGGTTTCTATGAGTCGGCTGACCCATATATACATATGCGGCCTCCACTAACATTTATTTTAGATGATTTTTCTTTTTAATTTTAAATTTTAAATTTTAAATTTTTTTTTATAGATTCTTCAACTAGGCCAAGATGATCATAAATATGAAAAAAAATATATTTAAAAATAAAAACTATAAATTTTTAGTATTTTTTTATGTACCATCCATATCTTATTTATGGACAATATACTTTTAGATAACGCTCATCTTTACTATGGACATTTGTAAGTCAACGGGCCCTTGCGCCCACGGACTCGTGAAACAGTTGTCCTTAGACAAGAAATGGTAAGTGAAAAATTATAAATTCGATGGAAAAAGAGAGCAAATGATATTCTAAATGATTTACTAAATAAGAGTTAGTCTAAGCTTAGTTTAGGAAGTTCCATTTCGGATATAAAAGATTAAGATTTCAAAGCACATTAGTTTTAAAGGAAATGTATATAATGAAGCCATTTAAATTTGGTTACAAGAAATTCAATATCATTATTAACCATTAAATGTGAAATCGGATTGTTGAGCATATATGATACTAATTTTATAATTTTCCAAACTTTATGAAAAATTTTAAATTGTCAAATTTTATACCTTACACTTGTACCAAAAGTGAATGGTCATGATCCTCTCCCACTCCAAAGTAAGAAAAACTCATTCATTTCTTTTTATTTGTCAGACAAATACATGTACCCAAAAGAATATGTCCCTCCCCAGTGGTGATCATAATTAATATTCTTATACAAAAAGAAAATGGGAATTACTATAAAGCACATCCCACTCTCATGTTCATACTAGCGATCCTGTCTTTCTTCCTCTCTGTCTCTTGCTGTTTAATTTTCTCTCTCCTCCCCCCGTCACTTTCTCTCTCTGAGGATCACCAACAATGGTAAGGAACAACCACCTCACACTGTTGCTCTCCTGTTTGGTTATGCTCCCATTGATGGTGGAGTCAAGAATAAGGCACTTCAAGTGGGAGGTGAACTATCTTCCCTGGTCCCCCGACTGTTCGACAGAGAGCTTATTGATCGCCATTAATGGGCACTTCCCAGGCCCAACCATACGCGCCAGGGCTGGTGATGCTATCGTTGTCGAGCTCCACAACAAGCTTCCTACTGAGGGGGTGGTCATCCACTGGCATGGCATCACTCAGGCACCGCTCTCTCTCTCTCTCTCTCTCTAACATATTGCAGAGGAAAATGGAGTTTTAATTTGAGTTGGTTTTGATGTGTTGGTTCAGTTTGAGAGCCCTTGGGCGGATGGGACGGCATCTATCTCGCAGTGTGCAATCAATCCTGAGGAGACTTTCATTTACAGGTTCAAAGTAGACAAGGTAAAGATCCTTCTTAAACAAGCTCCTGTTTTTTTTTTTTCTTTCTTTCTTTTTTTTCTTTTCTTTTCTCTTCTTTGTAAGAAGGACGATTTTAGTGGACGACCTTTTTATGAAAACCTTTTTTGTTTAAAAAAAAAGAAGAAGAAAGGGTACTGGATTTATTTTAAATCTGAGATTCCTTTATTATTTGGAAAATGTTTTGACAGGGGTGCACCCCCATCAAAACAAGTACAGCCTCACCTTAGATTTCGTTGAAAATTGTAGTTTTTAATTTCGAAAACTTTCGAATCCATCATTTCGGCCTTGACCATTATGTTTGTGGAAAAAAAAAGAAGGGAAATTTACATACGGATCAGATTATTTTATCGTTATAACGGTATCGCTCCAAAATATCTCGTTGTTACCTGAAAAAACGCCTCTACAACTTTTTTTTTTTTTTTGTCAAGTTTAACCTAGGTCCAATATTTGAGTATAATCACCTGTTATGTTTTGGCCACACCGTTATAACAGTCAAATAACCCGGTCCATACATAAATTTTCCAAAAAAAAGTATTTCAAAGTATTAAGAATAGTTTTACACATTATCTAGACCATCAATTTCGTCCTAAAAACAAGTGTTTACGTATCCACAAGATCTGTATCATTCTTTGAATTTTAAATTTCATAATTTGTGTTAAAATTAATTTTAGAGCGATCACGCATATTTTTTATGCCCAGAGTGCTTTGCAAACAAGTATTCAAGGTCAGGCTTTATTTTGTTTTGTTAAAGCCTATGCGCTATAGAAAGTGCATCCTTATTTGAATAAAATAATGAACAGGCAGGAACATACTTTTATCATGGGCATCATGGGATGCAAAGGTCAGCTGGTCTCTATGGTTCTCTCATTGTGGAGGTTGCAGAGGGGAAACAGGAACCTTTCCATTACAACGCTGAACTCAGCCTTCTTCTCAGCGATTGGTGGCATCAGAGCATTTACCAGCAGATGGTAGACCTCCATTCAAAACCATTTCGTTGGATAGGCGAGCCACAGGTCAGGAAACTTCGTGGACGTAGGCACCATTATTGAATCATGTATATATTGGTTGATTTTTCTCTTTCTCGTTATTTTCTTTTATTGAAAAGGCTACACTCTCTCTATCTCTCTCTCTCAAGCAAGTTTCTCTCTCTTCCCATGCAAGTTGCTCTCTCTCTCTCTTAGCCGTGATAAGCAAGTTTCTCTTTCTCCCCTTATTTTAAGCAAGTCTCTCTCTCTAGCTCTCTAGCAGTCATACTTAGTGACTGTCTTACTGGAAATACATAGTGAGATAGATGAACATGACTTTTCATTGCATGAAGAAGATTGAATAAGAGTGGCACACATGTCAACACACCAAACCGAACTCTTCTCGATCTATGTTCTTCTTCTCTCTCCTCTCCTACAAAAGACATGCATAGTGATATAAAGATTAGCAATTTAGATGCTGAAAAAAAGGAAAAATATGAAATAGGTTAATTTTGGACGAAAATTACTCAAGAGATCAGTTAATTTGTTTTCTTTTTTTTTTTGTTTCAAACCTTCCCTTGCATCTTTGGACCACTTTTTATTTTTTTGTGAAGCTTTTCGTTAATAGGGCAGCGGCTAAAGTTGGCATCCGTGGGCCGCTTTATTTCTTAGCAAATAAATGCGCTAATGCGGTCCAAAGATACCAACCTCGGACTGTACTAGAGAAGGCAGTGTGATGATAAAAAAATTTGGCTGACTAGCTACTGCCCCAAACATTAGGGCACAACTTTATTATTGAAAAAAAAAAAATATAAAAATAAAAATAAAATGCGACTGACTGAAATTAACATCATCAAACCGACGGACAATTTAAAAAAAAAAAAAAAACCTCGGGTTAACCGATCTTGCACGTAGTTTTAACTTAAAATTTCCTCAATTCACATTTTAGTATTTTTTCTTGTAACCGTAAATCACTCTAAAGATTATTATGACTATATACATATATAGAAACCGATATCCCCTCTCTCACAAACCACTAAGAATTAAATGCAGGAAAGCATATGCACAACCCATGTTACAAAGATACCTATACGTATGCTGCCTTCTGATATAGATACCAAAATATTAAAATTGGAATTGAATAATTATGCATGACAATCTGTACAGCATGCACACAGAAGATGAAGTGAATTACCAGATGACATTAAAGCACTTCTACAGTGAGATTTCAAAAGGAAAAAGTTAAGAAGAAGTGTCTAACTTTTTAAGATTTCAATCGGGAAAAAGTTAATAAGAAGTGACTAATTTTCTAAGCATCAGAGTCTGGCCACAGACATGCATATCCATGTTGCATAAAATACAACTTTTTATATGATTATTGTTGATGGTTGGTTAGATGTGATTGTCCAGTCACTGCTGATAGAAGGCAAAGGGAGGCATAACTGCTCCTTGAAAGCATATGAAGAGGACAAGAATAAGGATCCAGACTTGGTACCCACCACTCTGTGCCCAAAGAATAACAAGAGTGAGTGCGCCCCCCATGTTCTCCAAGTTGAGCCCAACAAGACTTACAGGCTAAGGATTGCAAGTGTTACATCCCTCGCTTCGTTGAACTTTGCTTTTGGGGTAAGTCTCTTTTATTCAATCTAGGTTGATGGGCTTATACTATTCCATTTGCTCATGAGATAACATGATCTTTTCCTATAAGTTTAAGACCTAACCAATCAAAGTAAGGCACACCTTCAAATAGTGCCAAAATGTGTTTTTTTGATATAAAAAGTCATAGTAATGGCCTAAGAACTTATTTTCATCTCTAATTATAAAATTTGAATATTTAAAATAGTGTAAATCTATGAGCACTTGAAATTTTTTAAAATTGACGGTCTAGATAATGCATTACAAGATGCATTATTTTCAAGAATTTTTTTTTTCAATATCATGTCCATACATCTTGAACTCAAAATGATCCAATTGAAGGTATCTCAACATTGAAATAACCTCTTCTAGTAAATTTATCAGGTATACCTTAATTTGATTATTTAGTGTCTCACCCTTATGTAATCTTCTTCCTATGTAAATATATAGGGGAATGATATCATGCATAGGTTTTATAGTAATATAACGAAATAACTTTTTGAAAACCATGTTAGGGTGTTTTGTTTCATCCTAATTTGTAATCATGTACTCATGTTGATGAATAGTGGAAAAATAAATAAAATTTGAAAATATAAATTAAAAAGAATTTTTTTAAACCCAATTAACATAGGCCACCCGTTGGTGAGATGCCTAGATCTAGGCCTTAGTAGGTGTTTTTAATTTCAAATTTTAGGGATGGATTTGTGTTATTAGATGAACAATAGAAGAGATAAAGAATTAATTTTGAGTTATCAAAGACATCAATTCTAAAAATTCAACAAATAGAAGATCTAGATTCATTGTTGGAGGGGTTTCAATTTGACCATACATAAGGTGTAACTTTTAATTTTATTTTTTGATATTAATAATTTGGATGAAGATAATGTCTATGCAAAATATGGGGTGAGTAAAAATCACATTAGAGGGTAAGTTCTTCTTTAAAAATTTTGAAAAAAAAAAATATATTGAAAGCGAAAAGGAGATGTAAAGGCCTAACAACCATAGTAGTCGACAACCAAAAGTTGTAGCAAGTAGTTAACCAAGAAGAATAATAGTTAATAGAATGACATCACTTCTAATCATTTTATATTTTCTTTCATAAAAAGAAAATAAAAAGGTGGGAGCTGATTTCACTTTTAACTCGATGAAAGTTCGAACTTGTTAAATCCCATGCATAGTGGCATGTAGAAAGCTTTCTCGGCAAATCTCATTTTTTGCCACTTTTTCTATCAAATTAGAAAAAAAAATTATTTATGTATTTTTACTAAATAATTACAGAGATATTAAAGAAAATAAGCTTGGTGGGACACCCATTTTTATATTGGCAAAGATGAGGTTTGCCTTAAAGAAGATATTTGAATAATTTGAATGCCAATCCGCTTGTGTACTGCCACTTCCTGACCATGAGAAGTATCCAAAATGTCAGATTTTTCTCAGTCAAAAAGCAGCTACACCAATACAATTCACACCAAAAACCCCCTACTTTTGACCCCAGAATCCTCTTTCTCTCTCTCTCTCTCTCTCGAGCAACTTGTTTTAACAGTAGCATGCACCGGCAGTACCACACTGTATACTAGCTTTCTTTGGTGAAAGGCCCAGTTAAGAGAGCTTTTCCTATTTGAAAATTTGAGATCTCTTTAAGAATTAGCAGATGCTTATTTTCGAAAGTTAATTTTCATTTCGAATTCTTAAAGACTTGAATATGATAGTCGGAAAAGTAGACAATTTTGTTGAGAAATGACACTGTGAGATTCTCCCACACTCATATGAGTAGGATCTCAAAGGATCACCATTAAATTTGACACATATCCCTATAAAAGTTATCTCATGGGTATGAGACATGACTTTTCTAGAGATATGTGCTAAATTTGATAGTGATAATTTGGGGTCCTACTCATATGGGTATGGGAGGGTCTGATAGGATCATTACTCATTTTTGTTTTACTTTTGGGATGTTATTTTCTTTTAGGCGATTACAAGTGCCCTTGAAATTCTTTTTCTTCGTTGAGGAATTTAAGGTGCACGGGAAAAAGATGCAGTGTATTGTATGGTCTATATTTTGACCAATATTATATTGAAGTTCTACCTTTTTGAAAAGAAAATAAGTATTTGGGCATTTTTTTTTGGGGTAATTTATTGTTAATTAATTGGGGGTATCAACGACAGGAATGAATACCACAACTAGGTGTGGGGATGCCACCGACCCAGCTCTTTTCCTTATTTTGGTAGTTTAAAAGTTGGATTTTCAAACTATTCAAACAACCTAAATATACCAATTTTCTGTGTTTTTGGTGGTTCAAAATTTGGACTTTCAAATTGATTAAATATATTATTTTTTCCTTTTGTATTTTGGGTGGTTCAAATGTCATAATTTCGAATCAAAGGTTAAATGTGAATAAATTTTCTAAAATAGTAGGATCTCAACATAATACTAGGCGTGATATAGACTTTGCGGTAATACATCTTTTCCCTAGGCCAAATATTGATCTTTCTCTCATTTTTTAAGGTTGGTGCTAGATTGAAGATTTTTACATCTTGAAATTTTGCAGACCTAAGGGCCTGTTTGGTTTATTGGATTCAGATTTTCAAGAGTCATTTTTCTTAGAAAAACTGAGCCAATCGTGTTTGGTTCACTTAGAATTGACATTTCCGTTGGAATTGAAGGGATTCACTAGGGAGTTGATGAAGGTGATGTGCACAGAAGGATGGGTTGGTTAGGGAATACGTGCGTGAAGACGCATGTAAAGGGTGTGTGCACGTGTGTGGGGGCGAGTTTAAGGTCATGCCTTTAGGACCTGTGCAAAGCAGTTTAATGTCATGCGGCTAGGACGTGCACTATGGCTTAACATCATATGGTTTGGACCGTGGTTATGCAGTTTAGAGTCATGCAACTAGGACCATGCAGTTTAAGGTTGTGCAACTAGACCTCTGCTACAGTTTAAGGTCATATAGTTTGGACAATGATGCTAAGCCTTTTAAACGTCATGCGGCTAAGACGTGCACTATGATTTAAGGTCATATAGCTTAGACCGTAGCAATGCAATTTAAAGTCATGTAGCTAGGACCATGCAGTTTAAGGTCGTGCAACTAGACCTCTGCTACAGTTTAAGGTTATATAGTTTGGACCGTGGCTGTGAAGTTTAGGGTCATACAGTATAGACCATTGTGGGTAGCCATGTAGGTGAAGTTTTCATTGAGAATAGGTTTATGGATAGTAATCTGACTCCCTAGGGATAAAGTAGTGAAGGCCATACACAAGCAAATGGCTTAGATGGAGTTGGTGACCCTACGAGGAATGGCTAACGGAAGCAGACTTCGTTGGGGATTAGGGGGTGAGTGTGACTCCCTGGGGGTAAAAAGTGAGACTCCATGTAGAATAGGCTTATGGAAGGTAATCCCACTCCTTTGGGAATGAGATAGCAAAGGAATAAGGACTTGGTGCGAAACAGACCCATTAGGGGTTGAAGTGGTAAGAATGTTCCTAACTCCACTGGGGATAATGAGCTGCAATACAAGTGTGACTTCTACTGGGGGTGACAAGTCACGACCTGGGTGCATCGGCCTAAGTGCAACTCCACTGGGGATAGTGGTAAGACACACGGCGGTGGCCAGGTTCTAGCACGCGCGACGCTAGGACATGCACGACACTAGCAAGGGAAGGTAACACACACGGTGGTGGACTTGAACAGTAGTAGCATTGACACGTACAATGCTAGCACGGGCAGAGGTAGCACACGCAGCGCTAACATACACTATGGCAACACACGTGGCGGTAGATTTGAGAATACAGTCGGCACTAGGCACAGCCGACGCTAGCTTTTAAGAACACAGTCAGCGCTGGGGTTTTGAGAACACAACTAGTGTTGGGGTTTTGAGAACACAGCTGGCTCCGCGATTTCCAGACCATAGCCAGCGTTGGGGTTTCGAGAACACAGTTGGCGATGGGGTTTCGAGAACACAGGCGGCGGTGACTTGTATTCGGGCCTCAGGCTAGAGCTCGACCCTGTCCTGGATCGATGCATGGGGGCTTCATGGGTGGTGGTAAGCCTCCGTTCGGGCCTCGGGTTTGAGCCTGGCCTGGTCCGGCCTAATGCCGTTTGGTCTTTAGGGATGTGCCTAGAATTCTTGATTTGTTAGGGGCACTTTGGAGGAACATCACCTATATAAGGGGGTAAACCCCATTTTTACCATTTCACCGAAGGTAAAACAACTAAGTTTAACAGTGAGAGTGAGAGAACTCCTGGCGAGAATTTTGGCGAGCACGCAGAGCACTCGAATGAGGTTTGGAAGAATTTGCCTACAAGCAAGAGAAGGTTTCAGTTCAAAAGAGAGAGCATCGGCAAAAATGCAGGAGCATTCGTAAGGTTGCAGGAGTCTGTGGCGAGGGTAGCGAGAAAAACAGAGGGTTTGTCGTGAAGCAGTTGGAAACTCCGGTCGTAACTTGGGATAGCTGAAAAGGGGAAAAATGGTGGAAGTTACAGCAAAGAACTACCGACAAACTTGCACCGGCTGTTTGCGAGTTTTTCAATGGTTTTTTCCATCGGGGAGAAGAAGCGGAAGGTGTCAATCGATTTTCGACGGAAGAGGGGAGTTTCTTGGGGAGAAACCGAGAGGCCACGGGGAGGCAAACAATCACTTGGAGAAGAAGGATCGCTGGGAGGTGAACAGTCGTGGCGAGAAGAAAGGTCACTGGCAGTGAACGGTCACCGGAAGGTGAACAGTCATCGGCAATGAACAACCGCCAAGAGGTGAACAGTCGCGGGGAGCCGAAAGGTCACCGGTAGGTGAACAATCGATGGAAGACGAAAGGTCACCACTAGCGATCAGTCATCAAAAGGTGAAGAGTCGTGGTGGCGAGGGGTCTTGAGGACACAACCGGAGCTAGCCTTTGCGAAACGCAGGCGGCGCTGAGCCTTAGAAACACAGCCGACATTAGCCATTAGGAAACCCAGCCGACGCTTGGTCTCAGAAACACAGTCGGCGTTGGCCTT